GACATAGAATTATACTTATAACTGCTTTGTATCTTTTTTTCTTTCTTTTCTATTTTTCTGGAACTTTTTCCCTTTTCTTGCACTTTTTGCTTTCTCTTTGTTTTTCTCTCTTCTCTATATTAGTTTGTATTAGTTTTTATCTTCTTTTTAAAAAGTTCTAAATAAATAAATAAATAAATAAATAAATACATACATCATCATCATCATCATCATCATCATCTCCTGAATCCTCTGATCCAGGAGATTATTTATTTGTTCAGTTTATATGGTCATCTACTTGCTAGGTGACTTATTATTCCTAGAACAATACCCAGAAGCCTTTTTATTACCTAAAACAATTCTACATAAAAGTAAATCAAGGATCTGGTGAAAATAGCTCCCTTTTTGCCTCCCTCACAGTCACATGATAGTCACAACACAATGTTCTTACTTATGCTCAGATCCATTCATCTTTAAATCTGTACTATGGCATTCCATTCAGCTTATAGCCCCACTTCATCAGCTAGAGATGCTTTGAGCACTAAAGGACATTTTACATTGCATACACTAAAGAATGTGTGTAGGAGCAGTGGTAGTCTATATCTGTAGTCTATCCTTCCATAATGTGACAGGAGTATTGACAGGATCAGAGCCCTGACTGGGAAATTCTACAGAGCATTCAGGAATCCTTTCAGTTTCTGAGATCAAACCATTCTAATGGGATGTTTTTGTTGGAAGGGTGATTTCAGTTACACTGATTCTTAAGCACCTCACAATCTATTTACCAAAAGGGGTACTGGGATAAGACAAGGAGCTGGAAATTGTCTGTGTTCCCTCTTTATCTCTCATTCTGGGTCTATGAGATTGCTATTCTCAGGTGCTTCCTTCCTGCCTTTGTGTTCCCTTCTCACTTATTCATTTACTCTCTGCCTGATAGGATGTAAATAGCTAGGAACCAAGCTTTGCTTATCCTCTCCCCATCCCAATGTATTTCCTGTAATAAACCTTTCTGTTAAAATTACCAAAAAATTCTTCACTAGTCCTTACTCAAGTCAGATTCCCACTATCTAGGAATGTACTCAAATTGCTTTCTCCAATACTTTATCCCTACAAGGAAGGTCTGTCAACTAAGTTGTGTAATAAAGTGATCTGTA